ATATACTATAAAGAATAGTAGTCATTGGCTCAGCATGACAACCAGATAACCAGCATTTTCAGAAGAAGATCTCATAGCAGCCTACAAATGTATCACAGTACATTTCCTTTAATGGGAGAGGAGACATTCTTGCCAACATATTCATGTTATTGCGCCTCTATGTATGCATGTTAGATAGGGACCTTAGATTGTAAGCTCCTTGATAGCAGGGACTGATGTGAAAGTGCAACTACATAAAGCGCTGCGTAAATTGTCAGCACTATATAAATACCTGTAATAAATAAATAAATACATAAATAAATACATTGATATTTCCCACTATTATAAATGTTCCAGAGTTCTATCTTATTCACATTGGGGTTGATTTAGGAAAGAACTAGACCAGAGGCTGTTCACTCAAAGTAAATGTTTACCTCGCAAAGTGAATGTTAGTAAATAAACTAAACGTGTGTTTACTTTGAATACCCAGTCAAGTGTGAGGAAAATTTAAAAAAAACAAATGTATTTGTAGTGAATTGATTGGTTGACTGAAGTGAGCACAGCTTCTCCTTATCATTTTTTTCTCATTTATAGTCAATTACCCCAGTATAATTTTATGTCTGAAAATGAAAAAAAATCCTTTTTGCAACCTCTTAGCAATCAGTTTGGAGTCAGATATGAAATGGAAGAGTTTTTTTTTTTTTTACATATTGCTCTTTGTTTTATCACATAAGGCCCTTTAGATTTAATATATAATAACTGTAGTGGATATCCCGGGCTCATCTTATATGAGGATTATTGGAAAATGTAAAAATTACAAAAAAGTAGATTATTACATAAACTTTGGTTTTTATCCGTCACTCCTAATGCTCATATACCATTCCAGTCCAGCAGGGCTGGTATGAAGATGGCCACCAATCAAGTTACAATATAAATTGCAGACATTTTTCCTTACAGTAAGATTGAGTTGATTGAGCGCATGGATTCTGCACCAGAACGGAGCATATGGCCTTTTGTACATAACCCTCTAGGAATCATTTTTTTTATGCCCGCTGTGTTTGTGTCAAATATCCAGCAAGGAGATATCTCTATTTTCAGATACTTTTAAGCTACATACATAATGACCGTAAGAAATTTACTGATCATATACTCATGTTACTGGCCAGGAAGGTCTAGTATAAATTATCGCTAAAATGCCTGCGTTTAGATGTGTAAACATGCATGCATAAAATTCTCTTTCCATGACTCCTGCTAAATCCATTTTTTGACCCACAGGTATGGGCATATGCCTTCTGCTACCACCCAATTAGCTGCTGCTGGGGAATACCCGACCCACAGCTGCACATAGGCAAAGGGGCGGAATGCAGTAATTTAATTGACCTTATATACCTGTATGGCTATATTTGGTCGATGGCATTGACCCAATATGTCCATGTGGTCATAAAAAGACATTGATGTCAGCACAAGCATCCGAACCCATTGTTCATGTGCAGCTGAGTGGGTGAGTGGCACTTCCATCTTCAGAGGAGCCCACGTTCAGTTTGGGTTAGTTCTAAGCCTGTGTTCATCTTCAATCACAACACATAATGGCCTATTTGTATCAGCTCAGTTGGGCTGCATTGGACAGAATTGCCCCGTATATGGTAGTCCTAATGCATAGACAAGGTAATGTGCCTTGTATCCTATTGCTTCAATTCTGGAAAAAAAGTAGGGCATTTCTTGCATCTTTTAAACAGCACGTTCTAATGCACTATAATGCATTGCATGTAGTTAAATGAAGTGTCAAGTTTAAAAAAGTTTGTAAAATTTGTAAAAAGCAAGCCCTGGGAGGTGTTTTAAAATGCATTCCAGCATCTGAGTGCACATTATGATCACCTTAACGCAAACCCACTGTGAATGAGCCCTTATAGTGGATTTTCTTTATTGCTAATAACTGATCTTCAGTGGGGTATGATTTATTGCAGGAGTAGAGACTGTACGGCTTCATTCATAGTAGGTTTCAAGCAGGTTATTGTGAATTCCTGCAGCAAGAATCACTGGTGGGACTGCATGTAATTGCTCCCTGTGCGATTATATCCGAACACCGGTGGACAGCTGCAGCCATTGTCAGCCTGTCATCACTTAGTGCAGGTTGAGCGGCCGCTACCTGGAATCACCTGCCATTCTTGCTGCAGGATTCGGCCTAAAGCAATTCATCCCCACGAAGCTACCTCCTTATGTATCACTTGCTCTTCCCTTTTAGATTGTAAGCCCTCAGGGGCAGGGCCCTCCTTACCATCTTGTCTTGAATTGTATGGTTATTGTAATGTCTTCCTTATATTGTAAAGCGCTGTGCAAACTGTTGGCGCTATATAAATCCTGTATAATAATAATGAGGCCTTAACATCAATGTTAACTTCGATCATCCAATCCTGTGCAAGCCAAAGTCCTGTCTTTTAAAAAACAATATTATTACTTTTGTACATGACTAGGTATTAAAGTGTGCATTGGTTCACCTTATGAGAAAATCTTCAATTTGCTAAGTTTGCAGTTTCTACTCCTTCAGTAAACCAACCCAAATCGCTTTCCCAGGCCAAGCTGCGTGCCCTTGAAAAATAAGCAAACAAGCCAAGAGGTAGTAGCTGCAAAGCTACTTTACGGCTTTGCTCCAAGTAACTGATCAACAGAGAAGAGAATGGTGTGTGGCAAGTTTTTTCTATGGACCACATGAGCTATTCATTACTGACTTGTTTTTGAAGGTGCATTCTCTGTCGGTGATTTGTAACAAGCATGTGTGCATGCTTTTTTGCAGGCCAGTGATTATGTGTATAGAACAAATATTCCTTTCTACTATGTTTTTCTGTTGAAAACTTTTTTCTAGACAATTATGAGCACTTCTGGCTTGCTCTGCTGTTTTGGGGGTACAGTCTGGACTTCATGTGCATAGTTATTATTATTATTATTACATAGTATTTATATAGCGCCAACAGTTTGCGCAGTGCTTTACAATATAAGGAAGACATTACAGTTACAATACAATTCAAGACAAGATGGCAAGGAGGGCCCTGCCCCTGAGGGCTTACAATCTAAAAGAGGAGGGGGAAATGATACATGAGGTAGCTGTGGGAATGAATTATGTGAGAATGTGAAGGTTCAGTGGTTAGGTTGAGGTGGGATAGGCTTCCCTGAAGAGATGAGTCTTTAGGGAACGCCTAAAGGCAGTCAAGGTGGGAGATAGACGGACAGGTCAAGGTGGGAGATGGACGGACATAGTTATCTCCCTTTGTTTACATGGATTCTTCTAGGTGCAATTGTTTCTTCTATTCCATCCAAAAAACATAAAACTTTTTGGGTTATGGGCAGGGCTGGATTTACTCTCTCTGCTGCCCCAAGGCCAGGTTCCTCAATGCACCCCACAACCCGCCAACCCCCCCCCCCTTTCCAATGGAGAACCTCAGACCTGCAGGCTGCTTACAAGTGATCTCAGCGACATCGCCGGGATCACTTGTACAAATCAAGCGGCAGCTTCCCCGCTGTACATTTAGCCCTGCTTGCCCAAAGCAGGGCTAAATGTAGAAAAAAACTAACCGCCCGGCGCCGTTCAATTGTTCACTTCTCCTGCCTCCTCCAAACCCTTCACCCTTTTGTGAATAACCCTGTATGACTGTGGATGGGAAATGAGACTGTAAGCTCCTTTGTGGAGGAGGCGACTGTTGTCTGGGAGGTTTTGAAATCATGCTGGGGATGTAGCAAGGGGTAGAGTTGCTTGCATGTTATTGGATGATCACAAGGCATTACTAAGCTAAGAGAACATTTTCTATGTTATTAGTAAACCAATTCTGGAGTTAATCTAGAACTGAACCAAAAACTTGATATCTTAATTTTTGGATAGAGTAAGAGAGAGTTATAACTCCTGTCAGCTTTTTTTTGCCTACGGTGTCCTATTCGGATAGCTACAACAGGAACTGAAAGGAAATTCCTTCAAAGTGAGGGAAATCCCTGGTGGTCAACAGGGTCACCAGAACTAAAGTTCCCATTGGAAGATTTCCCATCTATTCCTGTTCTGGTGAATTTTTTTTTTTCACTTTCAGTGTTAACAGTCACCAGGACAAACAGAGAGGGTCAATCTCTGTAATGGGTACACAGACAGCAATGAAAGCCTGACAGATGTTCTAATTCCACCCTACTCTATCCAAAACTAACAAAAAGTTTTGGATTCAGTTGCACGTTAATGAGTTTGTTTAGCCAAAATGTGTTTTCTTTTTGGTTTTGAATAAAGTGGAGAAGGATTAGACTCCCTGTTGGATTTTATTGCTATCCAGGAATCCATTAGAAAGATTCCCCTCTGTCCTTTTGCTGTTGGCAATGGTTTCACCAGATAGGGTGTGAGCATAAATTTACAATGGCGACACAGAAAGAAAATAAAATTGTAGAAAGGCATCATGGCACACTCACAAACCAGTATGTAAAACAACTTGTCTCACCAATAAGGACAATGACAGAGGTTTGGATACACGTCTTCTGCAAAGGATGTGTAAGCCGCACTGCCGCGCCAAGGCACCTCTTATAGTGCGGTCCTAACTCTAAACTATGAGAGTCTCCATCTTGGAGCACATGGGGGCAGAAGATATCAAATTGGGTGCAGGCCTGTCAGGAGGACGCCCCCACCTCCTTAAAGTTGCACATTTTAGTAGAGTACGGTAAAGCTATAACCTCTCTCAGATTTTTATTGCAGTCTGTATACTTGTAGCAGATTTCCCCTCACTTCCTGTCTGGTGAAACTCTTGTGAGTGGGGCAGGATGTGAGAGTAAATCTTTCTAATGGATTCCCAGGCAAGAACCTGACAAGGGTTCTGATTCTGACCCTTCCCAACTCTACCCAACATTTAGCTGGAACACTTGAATAGACCTGTAGCCATGACTGATATAATATTGAAGGGTAAAAAGGTATGAGGGAGGTAAGAAGTATGATATTTCAATAAAGAAGATACACCAGCACTTTCAGCTCCTTAATAACAAAGTTACGCTCTTGTTTTTGAAAGGTTACAGCGCAGTGGCATTTGATGGAACTCCGAGTTATGGACATACCCCGTCTCACCATACGGCACAGTTCCCTAACCACTCCTTCAAACATGAAGATCCCATCACCCAGCAATCCTCTCTCGGTAAGTTATGCAAATATGTCATTCTCCATTGATGTCCAATGAAAATGCTGCCAAGTCAGGCTAATGTTACTTCTGAAATGATAGACAGTACCTGTAATATACCGTGTTTCCCCGAAAATAAGACACTGTCTTATATTTTTTTTGGCTCAAAAAAAACACACTAGGTCTTATTTTCGGGGTAGGTCTTATTTATTTTTTTAATGTATAACAATCCAAAGTTAATGCAAATCCAAATTAAATAATCCAAAATGGCAAAGTTAATAATAGGGTGATCAGGGCAATCAGGGGTGCCGTACCTTTCCAAGAGCAATTTGGTAACCAGAAAAAGCGAAGCACACTTTCAATATCGATTCCTCCAAAGGCGGAGTGCATTTGGTATTACTCCGCCTGTGACTGGAGTCGGCGCTATAGAGGAAGCATCAGCTTATGCGGCTCTGCTAACTCCGGTGCTGCTTCGCTTCCTCTAGTGCTGGCTTCATTGGCACAGCTGATTCTCTCCCTTCAGGTTCCCCCTTATGCCACCACCAGCCCTGGCAATGGTCACAACTAGGTCTTATTTTCGGGGTAGGTCTTATATTTTAGCAATTCCAAAAAATAGTACTAGGTCTTATTTTTGGGGTAGGTCTTATTTTCAGGGAAACAGGGTAGGAGTAAACAGAGCCTCGAAGGAGAAGGGTAGAAGGGGGTCACCATACCAGTTCCTTCTGGTGATGAAGAGTTTAGTTTAGTTTATTTGGCAGTAGCATGAAGGTGTGACAAATATGTATATATACAGTATATACTGTATATATTTATACTGTATATCTATATATACATATATAGATATACAGTGGTGGTGTGTGTGGTGTGTGTGTGTGTGTGTGTGTGTGTGTGTGTGTGTATGGGTGGTGTTGAGGCCGAGGTGTAGGGGGTTCACTGCAGGGTAGATGTTTTGAAAGTCTGAGAGTTCAGCTTAAAAAGAGAACTATGGGGTAAATGTTTTCCCCCATAGTTCTCTTAAGGGTCACGGGAGGATATACTAACCTCCTCTCGTGACCCAAAGCTCAGTATATCGCGAGCTACAGCTCGCGGTATACTGAGACCGCCACAGCCGGGACGGATCCCGACATTACTGTCGAGATCCACCCAGCTGCGTGAGTGACAGCTGGCTCTGCCTATCTAGAAGCAGAGCCAGCTGTGCCCACCCCCTCCCCTGTCCGTTCGTCCAGTCAGCACTGCAGGATCGGAGAATGGAGGGGGGAATCCCTGCGGGGAGCCGTGAGTGACAGTCACCACTCTCTGCAGGGAGATGATCGGGAAGTGAGCGAGCGATGGTATGCGTTCGCTCACTTCCCTATCTATTGAGCCGACGTGTGAGAGTTTCATTGTCACACGTCGGCTCGAACTATGAGGCTGAGTGATTTTCACTCACCTCATAGTTCTCCTTTAACTTTCAGTGATTGATTCACCTGCAATGAATGTTTAGTGAATGTCACTTTCACTGCTCTGTAAAAATACCCATTTAATTGTCTCTCAGCATTGGTGTCTTTTACATTTTACTCTCAATGTGTATGATTTTGCGATTTTGTGCAATTGGACAATACAAAACAGAACAGAAATGGTGACGCTGCTCATAGAGACCGATCAGAATTTATGTTTTTTTAGTTTCATAAGATTTTTATTAGTTTTTTCCAAGTATAGAAATACAGTTAGTACATACACTCCAACGTAGAGTGCATGCGCACATTGGTTCAAAAACATTAACATATGTATATGCTAAAGTGAAAAAAAAAAAGAAAAAGAGGCATATGTGTTCTAAACATGCTCCTTCGCGTTAAATGCTTAAACTGTATCCAGGGCACAGAAGAGCCCTATCTGTGTGGGTCCAGATTGCGTGGAAGAATTTATGTTTAATTAAAAAACAAATATATGAACCTTCTCTGGTTGCTGTGCATAACACTTCCACATTTCTTCTTATTTTTTTTACTATTTTAATAAATCATTGTCAGTGTTATAGAACAGATCACGTTTTCTGTCAATGCCTGACACCTGCACACAAGCAGCCCGGAGAGTTCCCTATGATTAGACGCAGACTGCGCTGTCTGAATGCTGAGATCTCATTTATTCTGGTTATACATTGGGAAGGGCAGACTATAAATCAGGGCTGAGCAGAGCAGTCCCCGAGCTGTGATCTGCCTGTGGAATTTGTGCAGTAGACAGGAGGGGTAATGGATGTGGATGGTGAGTGATCACTGATGGTTTACTAACTGCATATAATTTCCCTACAGGAGACCAGCAGTATTCTGTCCCCCCACCAGTGTACGGCTGTCACACCCCTACTGACAGCTGTACCGGCAGCCAAGCGCTCCTACTGAGATCCCCATACAACAGGTACGTCCTACACAGCCGTCTGTATCCGCACAGCAAATAATGAATCTGTAGGTCTTCTAAGGCCGTCTCCTCTTCCACAGCAAAAAAAGTTAAAGCTGAACTCTTTTTTTTTAATTTAATGCGTCTCAGTAATTATGAATACATCACCAAATGTATTTTTTAAAGTACCTAATTCTGACCTGGTATCAGCCTTGCTGTAGCTGTACAGCAGGGCTGATTTGTGAAAGGAAGAAGCCACATAGTTCATGTGCTGGCAAGAGCAATGTTGATAGGAGGAGAGAGCAGAGTGACAAAGAGGTGAGCTCATCACTGTGCTGCTTCTCCTTCTCACTGCCCAGTCACAGGCTGGGGGGGGGGAGGGGGGGGGGCAGCAGGGTGACCTGGGTTCAGAGGAAGTGGGTTATATGATGTTGGCCATCAGAATGAGGACATCTCTGAGATGATCTCTGAGAAGTAAAAACAAAATACTCTTATGGTGGGGCCCCCACACTGCAAAAAGGTTAGATGGTCATTAAGTTTAGAGGGTAGAGGAATAAGCTGGAATATGTACCTTATTCCTCGCTCCAGCAGGCTTCCTCCTACATGTGTGATAGTCCCCTGAAGCCTCTTCTCTAAGGCCCTGCAGCTGGCAGTTACACTTTGACGTCATCACATATAATGCAGGACCAATAGTGCTGCATTGTACATGAGGACGACAAGGGCCCGCCCACAATCTGGAGCATTAGAGAGAAAAGGTGAGCGCCAAAGCCTACCAGAGCGAGGAATAAGGTAAGCATTACAGCATGTCACTCTACCAATAGACTTAATAAGCATCTAATCCCTGCAGTGTAGGGGGGCCCCACTGCATGGGTATTTTTTTTGGTAATTCCCGGAGTTCAACTTTAACTTGCTTTGAAAGTTGCATTACATATTTTTCTACACTTTAGATTTTGATAGATAACAGTATGAAAAATTGGTGGCGGTGGTCCATATAAAATGACAATCTGTGAAGGGTTAGAGAAACCTTCACCAGCTCTGCCATGGAACTCTGTTATGTATAGATACACCCCTGAAAAATCTACTTTTACTCTCAGTTTTTCTGCTGACAGGTTTAGGGAAAGTTTGAGACACACTTAAAGTATCATATTCCCTTTTCATAACATGTTCGGCAGTGAATAGGAAATCATTTCTCAACTCTCGGTGAACTTGGATCCAGTCCTGTATCACCCTGATAAGGCTTGTCTGGAGACTGGTACACAAAGCACCCCACAGCCAATGGGGAACTGTGAGCTGGATATGACACTGCGTCCAGTAAATACTGGTATGCTCCTAACTGGCCTCAGGTCACTTCTTACACTTTCCCTTCTGCATAATATATGACGTCAGGGTAAAGGGTTAATGCAAGCTGAGGTCAGGGCTGGCGAGTGTAACATGAGACTTAGTGTAACCTCTGGAAGACTCACAGAAATTAGGATAAGTGACTGAGCTTTTGGGAGATGCCTCCTGAACGACCTGCATTGTCCTCAATTGCCAAAAGTAGCATCACAAAATTATATATTATCATCAATGATGCATTTCTTGCAGGAGCATGGCTCCCTTGACAAGCGCAGATGTTCAGGAAATAAGATGTCAAATAAATCCAGTATTTTTCTGTTTGAAATAGTGGTGAAATGTTATACTGAAATTAAAAAATAATGGTGACTGTCAAACATCAAAGCTTAAAGTAAAGGAGATACAAAAAACCCTCCATTGAATTCAATTATATATTTATTTAAGTGAATGCAAACTTGAATATATTGCTTAGTATGCTTGGCATTGCGTCTTCCTGTATACAGATTTCTTAAGCAAGTCGTTTTTTTGTGTGTATCAGTTGCAAATCTAACTATAAGTATCTTACCTGTAGCAATTGCCTCACAATTAGCAGCATCGTAGTCAGCATGCCTTGCAAGCTCCTTCAACTGGCCATTGGTCTATCAAAAGGTCAGCCTGATCAAATTGCCAGATTATATCATACAGAGGTACCATCAGTGCAGTCCAATTATAGAAGTGCCCAGTTGGTGCTCCTAGTCAACGGACCATGGGTACAAATGCTGCCTGTGCATAGGATCCCAAAACAACAAACCCATATGGGCTTACCAAGGAACAATCAAGGTAGACCCTCTTCTACTGCAGATTATCAGATCCTCTCCATAGAGGGTTCAGTTATTGGTTCAATGGTGCTGGTTCAGTGATGTTAGTAGTAATGGTGATGAGGGAGAGTTCATCTGGAACAAATTAAGTAGAAAGTGTACAGCCAGAGCATAACGTAGGTAACCTCTGATGAGACCGGCTGGTGGGCAAGGGGCATGCACATTTATGGAACAACAAGCATAAGCAAATTGTTCTTTGCATTTCTATCCTCTGCAATTAACTCAAGACATTTACAATACAATACCTATACAGGAGCCCACGCTGTATACAGTTAGTCATGTTGAAAAAATACAAAAATCCTTCAAGCTTAACCACCAAACAATACAAAATATAAATATTAAAGCCATATGTCGCAATAAGTTAATTAATTTTTTTGCCAAGCATTTGGCTATCTGCACGCTTGGTTTGCATCTGTTAAACCCAGGTCGTAGAATGACCCTCTGCCAGCAAAAAAAGCTATCCCTATAACATGACTCACACTTCCAGGGTCTGCAGAGTGGGGGAGTCCAGGAATAGATTAAAGCTCTCTCTACTGCGGGGGTCAAGAACCCATCATCTGTACTTTGCAGGCCAAAACAAACTCGGGATGATCTACTACTGATTTCCTTTAAAGTTCCTATTTTTCTCTAAATCTAGATTTCCTTTCATTTGACTCCAAAGATCATTAATCCAACCTCATCTTTCCATACACATAGTGGTAGAAGTGAGATTTAGTTGCACTGGTTTGATTCTGAACTATTTTTAGCTAGAACTCAATGGAAAACAAGAACAATAGAAGAACTGGTAACTGAAATTCATTAACTAACTTAGTCAATGTCAAGTAGTTGTATGTACTGTAGATACAAAGACAGGAGAGCCCCACTCAAACTTAGAGTCTGTCCATATATAGGATGTTGATTGCAAAAAGAGATCAATACTACATATGTAGAATATACTGATCTGTTTCGATGGAATTACAACCTTATATCTAGACTCTCAGTTTAAGCATTCTCTCCAATCTTTGTCTCTATGGTTTTTGTAGGGTCTTTTTTTTATAGAATCTCTAGTACATCTGAGCTTTTCAACCAGTGCTGAGCACATCCTAATACACCTGATCCTACGTTATCACCTATTTGGGTTCCAATGCTGTTGTCTATGGCTGTGTTATTCTACAAGTACTCTTGAGGTCATCTATATCGATACCGGGACGAGGAAAAAGGAACCGAGTTATAGTAATATTTGCAGCTTTGGTAAGAGAGATACAACTCTATCATGATACCACAAGCCTGGGGTCAGTGCAAAATGAAAAATGAGGGGAAATAGGAGGTTCTGCTCACTCAGTCACAATGCTTTATGAAATTTTACAGGACCAGCATGCCCTTAGATATGAATACACTGTAGAAACATCGCATTAGTGTTTCAGTAATTATTTCTAGAAAATGTAACCTGACAGGGTATGGTGAGATGGGCCTAAAGGAACCAAAATGTCCTTCACAGAACTAACCAGCTATACATCCAGATTTATATGATGATTGAATATCGAGCCATTTATTCCAAACTTTATATCGCTGTTTCAGTTTTGTTGTCCATTATAAGTGCAGTACATGGAAACTATGGCTTCTATGGAGTAGGGCTTGTAGAGAGATGAGAAAGTATAACCCGACAGGTAATAATGGTAAGGTGGGCCAAAAGGAACCAAAAAGCCCTTTGTTTAACCAATGTAAAGAACAGAGGTGTCTTCTTAGAACAGAAGGTATTTACAAGCCTCATTCTGTAAATAATTCTGAAAATTGTGTACTTTGTTCCTTTTTAGAATAATAAGTGGAGCAAATAATTCCTTTATGTCCCTGTGGCAAACTCTACATGCAGAAGCACTAGTTTACAGTACAGATACAGCCTAATAATATGGTTAATAGTTATTCCAAACTACATACATTATAAAGGTTCTTCAATGAAATATACTGAACTTTACATAACAGAGGTACCATTAAATGCTAAGTTTACTTTTTTAATAAATTTGACTCTGCAGTCAAGGCTTATAGTAGGTTAGCAAACACTGTGCAGCTGGGGGTGCACGTTCCGGGGGAAATGGTGGGGGGTGACCTCACTGGTTGCCAGGAGCTCGATGGGACGCCGGCCAGGGCGTCCTGCTTAGCTCCTAGCAACCAGTAGTGTCACTGGCTGCCAGGAGCTGGGAGACACTGGCCCGAGCATCCCAGGTTGCTAAGAGCTGGGCAGGGAGATGTGTATGGCCCTTACACATCTCCCCGCCCAGCTCTTAGCAACCTGGGACACTCTGGCTGGAAAGGGGTCCCCCCATGTGACCCAAAGAGATGCCACCTGAGGGATTGCCCTGTCCATGTAGCAGCAGTGATGAGCTCATTCATTTCAATGACATTTAGACTAAGCAACTGTAGCGCTCACCCCCGAAGGAGCCGCTGAATATTGAAATAGGTTCTCCTACCTGTTGGTTCCAGCTGCCAGTCCCCTTTGATCAGCAACAGCACACCGACACTCACGGACAGAACGGCTCGAGTCTTAGGGTCTTTTTAGGGTATTTATTTGCAACATCAATAGGAGAGAGAGGGTTTAGGATCTGTAGGATGCCATTTGGAAATACTTCTGAGGACATCTTTCTCCCCTAGCAACCGCTAAGGCCGAAATCACTCCGATCTGGTCCCAGGGACCAATAGTAGTAGTACTGTGAACAGATACCTGGAATGGGTGAGGGCTCTCCCTTGTGGGTCCCAGACGGACGCTCGCACCAGCTCCTCTGCGGTACCTCTCAACAAGCGGACTCCTCCTCTGACCCAGCTTCCATCAGGTATTTTCCTCTTTAGGATCTGGAACTT